CCACTTTGGTTTCCTAGCTTTGCTTACTAAGGCATAAACCATCCAATATTCTAGTGATGCACTAACCTTCTGATGATTTCGGCCGACAATAATAAAACATAGGGTACTGTATTGATACACCAATCAATCGAGAGTTTTTTTTAATAATTTTTCCTGGTAAAATAAAATAAATTATGTTAAAAGTTAACTTGTTATACTCTCCCCTCCTTTAAGAATTTCGTCTTTGAAAGTCATTTACCATCACTTTTTGTAAGTTAAATGTTCATTCTCTCTTGTTAATATACCATCATAAACAATTACTAGGTCACTAGATCACGTGCAATGATTCTACGACTCCTCCCCACTCTCCCCCCCTCCCCCTCTCGGGCCCTTTTTCCTAAAGCTAATCAAATAATATTCTATTGTTTCTTTCACATTTTCATTTTAATAGGCCAAACATTTTGATTCAAAGTAGTAGTCAATTACACTATTTTCTTATGATTTTGTCCATTGATGCTTATCTAATACTAAAGTTCTAAATTTCAAACGAATTCATAGTATCAACAACTAAATTTACAAGTGAGCTATGTTTATATCTTCGAAGGTGTCTATTTGTGCTAGCTCGTTTTCTCCCCTCATAATATAATCTCATCCATGTGTTCTAGTTGGAAATTACCATCTCCAAGCTTCCTTGGAAGAGCTACATTTCCTATTTACACAAGAGATTTATCTTGAGTTCGAGGCTTTGGCAATCTAGTGCAGAAAACTCTGAGCTTCTATATTTTTAAACACTTGTGCTGCTTGAACCAACAATCTTTTTCTGGGTATCCTAATCGGCTACAACAAGTGCAAGTTATTGATTCCTGTAGTGAAGGTTTTTTAATATGTTGGGCAAAGTTATCAAACGTTTTATCATTGGGGGTTCAAGGTTAAAGGATTTATCCTTATTTGGTTTATGCATCACTGAAATTCACTCATTTTATGTTATGGAAATTTCTAAGCTTAAACTCTTGTGTTCTATTCATTGAGTAATCGAATGTTTTCTCAAATGTGTCATATGTAATGGTTGCTAAACCAGCTTGAATTTCTAGGTTTAGACCTTGTGTGAACCCAAAGTTCTACTCTTCATCAATTTCTACAAGTTTAGTTATAAATTTAGACAGTTTTGCATAAGTGACCTCGTATTCTATCACAGTATCGGTGTTTTGGTTGAGGTTGATAGATACGCAGAGGTGGATTTGCAGTGGGGGAACTACGGGCACGTGCCTTCATTTACTTCAAACCTATGGTTGGGGGCATATATATAAAACACAATATAGAAGTGTGCTACAAACGGTTGACTTTTCAAGTAAATTTTTTGTTACGCGAAATAAAAGAAGCTAACCATATTAGGCCAAGATTTCTTTAGCTATGGGTCCCACTAAAAGTTTATGATTCTTATCAATCAACACTACCTAAATCCTATTTGTATTACAACACAAATTAAGTTATTAATATCGTACACTCATTCTTTTTCCTAACAAATAACGCGAGAGAAGACAAAAAATGTAATTAAATCTCAACCTCTCCAGGCTCCGTAAATTCCTTTAAATCTCTTATATTAGTTGCTAACCAAACTCAACTCAATCAATAGAATTTCATATCAGTGTTAATAAAAAATTTATAAACCAAGCAAATGTTGAGCGGTTTAGGTTTGATTTATTTGATATTTCATTACAATAAATTTTCCACTCTTTATGTTTTGTTTTATTTATAAATTTTTTTATTTTCTTAACATAATAAGTATAATTTTTATTTCCATTTTCTTAACGAATTAAGTGAATCAAAGAATATTAGTTAGCTATTAATTTGTTAATTAGGGTTTATTCAACTTTGAACCTAGTAATGTAATTTCATGTAGTAGAATATTCAATGTTCGATTATTAATCACCTATCTTATAACATTAATTGTAATTGTAAAAGTATTGTATTTTTGTTATTTAGTAATGGAGAAATCATTGGAACACTATTTTAAGAGAAAATCATTGGAAAAAGGTTCATCTAGTGGAAGCAGGTTCATCTAATGGAGGAACAAATGGTAACATTGATCTAGAGGAAAATGATGATAAAAGAAGACGAATAGAAATCAATTTTGACACTCCCTTTTAACCCAAGGTTTAGAAAGAAGATCACTAGTTATGATCCAAATATTCCATATGAAATTAGAAGATATTATCTTCTAAAAGGACCATGTCAACCTCGAGAACATAATTTTGCTTAGAAAATAATTGGAAAAAGGCACGCCGATTTGTACCTTCAATGATTTAATGATTAAAAGAATTGGTTAAAGTACAGTATTGAAAAACAAACTGCTTTTTGTTTATGTTGTTATCTATATAGGCCGGATACTGTGGGCAATTGGGTGGTGCTAGTTTTGTTATTCAAGGATTTTCAAACCAGAAAAAGAAAGAAAGATTTAGTGTTTGTGTTAGCAGTCCTGAGAGTGGACACAATTGGCTTGTAGGAAATGCCAAGACTTGATGAATGAAAATAAACACATTGATGTGGCTTTTTAAAACAATATGAGAAAGCAAGAATTGACTGTTGAACTCGTTTATTGGCTTCTGTTGATTGTGCAAAATTTCTTCTCCATCAGGGATTGTCTTTTTGTAGTCATGATGAGTCTGACATATATTATAATCGAGGGATTTTTTTGGAATTATTGCATTTTTTGGTAGATGACAATGGTGATATTAAGAAATTAGTTCTTGAGAATGCTCCAAAAAATTTCAAGGTCACAGCTCCTAGCATTCAAAAAATAATAATAATAATAATAACAAAGGCTTTGGCTAGTGAAGTTACATAAGTCGTCATTGATGATATGGGCAATGGCTTATTTTCCATTTTAGGTGATCTCGAGATGAATCAGGAAAAGAGTAATTGGCTATCGTTATTAGATATGTGAATTCACAATGTTTGGCAATAGAATGTTTCCTTGGCATTCTTCTTGTAAGCAATACTGTTTCTCAAACTCCTAAAGAAGGAATCGATGCATTGTTGGCGAAATATGGACTGGGCATTTCGCAACTTTGTGGTCAATATTGTGATGGTGTTAACAATATGAGAGGTGAATATAATGGTTTAAAAACCTTGATCATGAAAGAAAATGGTTCTACATATTTTATCCATTATTTTGCCCATCAGCTTCAATCAACACTTGTGGGAGTTGCAAAGAAGTATGTCGAAGTTTCATCCCTGTATTACACATTTTAGTCTTAGTTAATGTTGTAGAAGGTCCAACTAAAAGACAAGAATATTTTCGAGATTTACACCTTCAGAAAGTGGCAGAAGATCTAAAGAATGGCAAACTTAATAGTGGTACAGGGTTGCATCAAGCAACAAGCCTTCAAAGAGCTGGAGATACACGTTAGAGTTCACATTTTAACTCATTGATGAAGTTGATTCTCATGTTTGCTTCTGTGGTTGACGTCCTGCAAATAATTGAAAATGACGAAACTTGGGAACAACGATTTAGGAAGAAAGATTTAGTTGTGATAGAGGGCTGCTGCGGCCATGAATCTTCTGGGAATTTGGACCAACAGAAGAATATGTTGAAGAGGCACCTTGTGGAGCTGATTTTGTTGGTGATTCCAGTGAGGATGATTTCTCTGTGGTAGAGACAGTGGGGAAAAGAAGCGCGCTGTCAATCTTCCTTCCTTACTATTCAGAAGGCTATGGTGAAAATATGTTCTGTTTTGGAGCCTTTTTGCTCGTCGGATGATGATGATGACGGTTTTCAGAAAGCGATAAAAAGAATCACTTAGGTGATGGAGTCTTTGTGGTGGAACGACCAAGATGATGAGATAACCTGGGGAAAGCTTTTTCCCCTGGTCTGACATTCTTTAGTTTGGCCAGCGCTGAATGTAGATGATTTCCACCGGTCGAATAATGAAACACTCAATTAGATTCGGCAGCCATGATTCTGGCAAGAAATAGTACAGCTTTCCTAAATCCTGTCACATGAGAGTTCGTTGCAGATCAAATTCATTGTTGAGGGATGTTTTTGATTCACTGTCTCACAATTGGGTAGTGATTCAGAGAAAGATCGAGTTACAAACTAAAGCGATTAACTCATCGTCCTCTTACGTACCTTGATGTCCTGGGATTAGTTTGATGTAAATGCAAGATTCTTGAAGAACCTGTTGGCTTTTGCCAGTTTCAGAGGAGTTGAGCTGATTGAATCTTTGTTGGCTCACACCCAGGTTTTCTTATGACCAGCAAATTCAGCATATTGCAGCCGAATTCGGCAGACAAACTCGGCCCAATCCACCATCTGTGTGTGGAATTTATGTTAGAGTCCTGCAAGTTTTGAAATTGACGCTCTTAGGTTCACCCCTAAATTCAACTCCAGCAACCACCCATCGGCTTATCTTGCGCGGATTCGTTGATTCTACTCGGTCTCTTCTTTGGCAACTTTTGCCCTTTAGTCTTCAGCGTAACATTGCAGCAGGTGCTATTTTGTTGGGCACCAATATACATATACTGCCCTTTTCCGATGACATGGAAGACCCTCTAGTTACCAGGCGCACAGAAGTTTTTCGGGATCAAATGTAGAAACTCTACGGGGGTTTGAGTTTTTTGAGAACCATTATTCTTGACGATGACCAAGAAAATCAGTTGGCTGAGTTGTATGATAAAAAGCATGATATCATCCGATATGTGGCTTGTGAGGCTGGAGTCATCGTTGTCTATCTCTTTGAAGGAAAGAAACAAGGAGGGTCGACAAAAAATTTAGAGCCTCTTTTTTTAAAGTTGGAGAAATTATTTGTATCATTGATCCAAGAACAAGATGAAATGGTATACCCACTGTTATCAGAGCCCTTCCCTCAGACCAACCTCCTTGATTTTATTCGTTCTGTATTGGAGAAAATGAAGTCAGTCATTCTATTTGAGTCTGATGCAAAATTTTCTCTCACGAATGATAAACTTCAAACTTTCTGTGATGAGGATTTTCAGTTTTTAAGGTCATTTTTTGGTGTGTCATGGAGCAATTTGACCATAATGGGAAGCTCCAAGCTCTCCAGAGTCGCATTGCAGCCGTCGCTTATGAGACAGAATTTTTCCTGGATTCCTTAGTGATTGGAGATGCTCTTCAGACTCTTGTTGTGATACTTGATGCCATCAAAGAAGAGATTAAGCTCATTAAGGCTGAGGTTGCGGCCTCATATATATTTCATAACCAGAAGCAAATCACAGGAGTTGGTAAAACTTCTGTTAAGATGCCATCAAAAGGTGATGTCCCTGTTCTTAATCAGGTTTTTGTGGGCTTGGAAGATGAGATCCAAACTATAATTGATAAACTCACAAGAGGAACGAGCAATAAATTGGACGTTATTTCCATTGTGGGCATGGCCAGACTAGGCAAAACAAATATGGCCATGAAAGTTTATGGTCATTCCTTTAAAATGCACATTTGGTCCCCCGATTTCGGAAGTAGCAAGCTCGAGTCATCATGAATTTTTAATTGACAAAAATAGCCCTCTAAAATATTTTTCTCATCAGTTTTGGTCAATTTAATAGAAAATTTTCAAACGTAACGGGTCAAACTTTTTTCCCGTTAAGTCTTTAATTTTTTATTAATTTCTTGAAAGTGGAGTCCACTGGTTTGACCCCCCAAAAATTAATAAAACAAAAACTACAAAAAAAGGGCATATATAGGGAATGGTGGGACCCCTTTTTTTCTTTTTTGTTAAATTCTTTTTTTCCCTTTTTCATTTCTTTTCTCTGTTTACTAGTTTGACTATCGAACTCAAATTCTCCTCCCTTTTCACTAGTTTTCTTTTTATTAAAAAAGCTCAGTCCAAAACCGTGCAAGACCAAAATACTCACTTTTAGTTTAATTTAGTTGATCCATCCATCCGGACTTCCATTATCTTCTTCTTTGAACACTTTTCTTCACTCAATTTAGTTGACTAAGCTGAACACGTTGTTCCTCCACTTACACCTGTTTAATGGCACATTTCCAGCAGAAATTGGGCACTTGAGCAACCTGGAAAATCTCGCCTCCCCCCGCCCTCCTCACAATCCCCACCGCCGCTCACCTCTTGTTGAAGGATGTGGATCAGACAACACCAGATCCAGTGGTTGACAAAGAGGTTAATTGTACATAGTGTACATGTATCTGATTGATAGTTTGTATAGTTAGGTGCAAATTGTAAATATACATATTAGGAGGATGAGTTCTGTAAATAGTTTAGTCTAAGAAAGTCAAAGGCAGTTAGTAGTATAAATACGTTCTTAGGACACAGATCTTGTAATTTTATTCAGAAAAATTAATTGACAGAATATACAAGATTCAAAATATTCTATGGGAAGTAACTTTACTTTTTCGGCCACCGTTTTTTCTTTGGTTCCGACCTAAATTCTAGTGATGCTATCAGAGCAGGAGTGATCCTGCCTGATTACTGAACCATAAATCTTCAAGTTTTTACATCAGAAGCAAAACCTGATCTTCAGATTGAATAATGGAGAACGATGAAGGTGAATCCAGTTGCGATCGAGAATTGTGTCAGGAGGAACAGAGATACGGCGAAGGCGGTCGAGGAACATGAAGGATTTCTAGGAATTACGGTAGGACTGAGCGTGGCTATGCCCGAAGTCCGTTTGTTGATCGAGATCTGGAATAGTTCATGGAAGAACAATTGGAGTTACATGGTTCTGACAATCCGGGACTAGATTATCTTATGTGGAAGATGTCGGCGGTGATGGCATTAGATGCAAAATTCAAGTTAGGATTTGTAGATGGTTCATGTGCTATGCCTTCTGTTGATTCGCCTTATTATCTGAGATGGAGGAGGGTGGATATCATGGTGAGATCATGGATTCTGAATTCTATTGATTCAAGGCAGGTGAGTAGTTTTGCTTTTATACCTACTACTAAACAATTGTGGGAAACTATAGCAATTAGGTATGGGAAAATCAATGGATCACTGGTGTATCAGTTAAAGAGGGAATTGGCATTGATTAACCAAGGAAACATGAATATGGTGGAATATTACAACAAATTAAACAAGCTATGGGACGAATACAGTCAATGGAGGCCACCTATAGTTTGCGAACCCGAGGCAATGAAAAAACTATATGAAAGAGATAATGAGGATAAGGTTTATCAGATGCTTATGGGATTGAATGACTGCTATGAGTCAACTAGAAGTGAAATTCTTCGTTTGAATCCTTAGCCATGTCTCTCGATGAGATTTATGCCAAATTATTGCATGAGGAAACACAGAAACAAGTCAGCAATGCAGTGACTGTTCAACTAGAGAATGTGGCAATGTTGGCAAAACCAGTAATGTGGAAGAAAGAACCAGATCAGAAGGATTGGAGGGAAATCAAAGCAGCTGCAAAGCAGGAGAAAATGAAGCTATTCTGTGATCATTGTAGGAGAAATGGACACATTAGAGATACTTGCTTTCTCTTGAAATGGTTTCCAGATTGGTGGGAAGAGAAATACAAGGGAAAGAAGCCTCGGGGAATGCAGAGTTGGGGTAATACAGGAACTAAGGCTGGATCATTTCAGTAGGCTCACTTGGCAGATACACCTATTGACTATCCAGTGGTAGTGAACAACAGAGGAGGAAACGGAGAAGGATGTCAATCAGTTGTGGCCAACTTGGTGTAAGCTGAGTTGGGAAGAATGCTGAAAGGAAAATCACCCCTGGAGATAACTCCCAACTCTGTCAATTATGCTCACCTTCATGATTTTACAGGTAGCAAAACTATCCCTTATCTTACAGCAAATTTGGTGCATATTAGTAGTTTTTCTTGGATTACTGACAGTGGAGCAACAACACATATGTGTAGTTCAATTTCTGTTTTTGTGCATGTTCAATCAGTCACTACATATACACCTGTTTTTCTCCCAGATGGTAGTATTAGGCAGGTACACCATAAGGAAAAGTAGAACTGTCAGCCAACACAACCCTTAACTCAGTCCTTCATGTACCTTCTTTCAAACATAATCTACTATCAGTCAGGAAATTGGCGCAAACATCAGGGATTTATGTCAAGTTCTTTGATGAATTCTATTTGCTGCAGGACCTGAGGACTAATGAGGTTCTCGGAGCAGGCATGGGCATCAACGGACTCTATGTTGTCAATTCATACTCTTTCACACCAGAAGCAATTCAACACACTCACATATTGTATGCCAGACTTGTACTCTCTTATACCCGGATTCAACCAGATGTTTCTGTTTCTAAAAGCCATATCATACCATTTACAAATAAAACCAGTGCTAATGTTGCTGTTTTAACATTACACACAAGATTAGGTCACCCTTCTGATGTAGTGCTGAATCACATACCAAACTATGTTTTACCTTTGATAGATAATGATCATAAGCTTTGTACAGTTTGCCCTTTGGCAAAACAACGGAGATTACCTTATAATTTGAGTTCTATTTAGACTACACACGTTTTTGAAATGATACATGCTGATGTATGGGGTCCTTATAAGATTTTATCATTGACAAATTCTCAGTTTTTTCTTACTTTGGTTGATGATTATAGCCGTACTACATGGACTTTTCTGTTGAAACATAAATCTCAAGTGCCAGACACTCTCAAACACTTTCTAAACCATGTCAAAACCCAATATGAGAGTTCTGTTAGGATTCTGAGAACTGACAATGGGTCAGAATTTTTGAATTCACAAACACAAATTCTATTTTCAGATTTAGGTATTGTACATCAGAAATCTTGCCCTTATACTCCTCAGTAAAATGGAATTGTTGAAAGGAAACATCAACATTTACTCCAAGTTGCTAGATCCTTGTTGCTTTATTCTGGTTTACCAAAACAGTTTTGGGGGGAATCTATCTTAACAGCCACCTTTCTCATAAATAGAACACCTACTCCAATTCTAGGGTGGAAATCACCTTTTGAAGTACTACATTAGAAACAACCACCTTTAGATCACCTTAGAACTTTTGGTTGCTTGGTTTTTGTGATTAACACCAAACCTGATAAAGATAAACTTGACCCTAGATCATTCCAAGGGGTTTTTGTGGGTTATCCAACAGGTCAGAAAGGGTACAAGGTCTATTGCTCACAACTGAAGAAAATTGTTGTTTCCCAGGATGTGGAATTTCATGAGTCTGTGTTTCCTTATAGACAACAGCAACCATCTGATTCTGATCCACCTGTTTTGCCACTTTCATTTAACACAGACATACATTATAGCCCTCCTAATCAAGTTTCCCCAATCTCCTCTATCCTCAATGATGATACTTCATCATCACAATCACCAAATCCAGCATCCAATTTTCCTAATGATCATCCTTCTTCTCATATAGACCCTCCAACTTTATCACTATCATCTCCTATTCACTCATCTGCTTCAGAACCAAGAACCTTCACCTTCTATTCCACCACTTAGAAGAAGTGAAAGAAATAAAAAAAACTTCTTGTTTGGTTAGAAGATTTTGATTTAGCTAATACTTGTACTGATCATGAAACTTCTTCTAATTTTTTGCCCGATAAAACATGCATTTTTTTCATCTGAACATATGCATTTTGCAACAAATGTTTCCACTGTTAGTGAACCATAGACTTACTCTAAGGCGAAGGAATCCACATTGGGTGTTAGAAATGAATCAAGAGTTGAAGGCTCTTGAAGATAACCAGACTTGGACATTGACATCATTACCACCTGGTAAGCGAGCTATCGGTTGCAAGTGGGTATATAAAGTTAAATGCAAGCCGGATGGCACGGTGGACAGGTATAAAGCACGGCTTGTGGCAAAAAGATACACTCAAATAGAGGGTGAAGATTTCTTTGAAGTATTTTCTCCGGTTGCCAAGACGGTTACTGTTAGGATTTTAATGGTCTTAGCCGTACACAGGGTCTGGAATGTCCATCAGCTCGACGTAAATAATGCGTTTTTGCATGGACCCCTAGATGAGGAAGTGTACATGCTCTCCCCCCCTGGTTACACACAGGCTGCTCCTCATCAGGTCTGCAAATTGCAGAAGTTCCTTTATGGTCTGAAACGGGCCTCCCGACAGTGGAATAGCATCTTCACTTCTACCTTGATCAAATATGGATTCAAGAAGTCGTATGCTGACCCATGCTTGTTTGTTCTTCACAATTCTTCTTTGCTGCTTTTGTTGATTGTTTATGTAGATGATGTGCTAATCACAGGCTCTGATGAAATGGAAGTCTCAAACGTTAAAGTTCTTCTTGATTAGGCTTTTACCATTAAAGATCTTGGTCATGCCAAGTTCTTTCTGGGGGTTGAAATTGCTAGAAGTGAATCAGGAACGTATTTGAATCAACGAAAGTATGTCACTGACATCTTGACTGATGCTGGAATGCTGAATGATCATCCAGTGTCAACTCCTTTTCCGAGTGACTTAAAGTTTAGCAAGAAGGATACCACTCCTCTGCTGGTTGATTAGTTTCTGTACCGGTGTTTGGTTGGCAGGTTGTTGTACTTATCCTTCACCAGGCCTGACTTATAACATGCAGTTCAACAACTTTCTCAATTTGTTCATGCATCACGTCAATCTCACTGGAATGTAGCTTCAACCACTCTTGCTGGGACAAAGGATCAAGGTTTGTTTTATCCAGCTTCAACCACTCTGATAGTCACAGCTTACTCGGATGCAGATTGGGGTTGCTACGATTTTTCCAGACATTCATTAATAGGATACTGCATTTTCATTGGAAATTGTCTTGTGTCCTAGAAGACCAAGAAACAACCCACCATTTCTTGTTCTTCTGCTGAAGCAGAGTACCCGTCCCTGGCATATACAGTGAGAGAACTCAAATGGCTTTCATATATCTTATCTGATATGCAGGTACCTGTTCAGCTTCCCATTTCTTTCTGGAGTAATAGTAAAGCTGCGCTTTATATTGCTGCCAACCCTGTATTCCATAAAAGAACGAAGCATATTGAAATAGATTGTCATGTTGTGCGTGACAACAACCTTTCTGGATTTATTGATCTCCCTCGCATTCGGTCAACTTTCTGCTCCGCAGTTTCATTTTCTTTTAGATAGATGAGCCTTTGGTCTTCCCCTCCTGCTCATCTTGAGGAGGGCGTGTTGAAGAATGTGGATCAGACAACACCAGATCCAGTGGTTGACAACAATGTGAATTGTACATAGTGTACATGTGTCCGATTAATAGTTTGTATAGTTAGGTGCAAATTGTAAATATACATATTAGGAGGATGAGTTCTGTAAATAGTTTAGTCTAAGAAAGTCAAAGGTAGTTAGTAGTATAAATACGTTCTTAGGACACAGATCTTGTAATTTTATTCAGAACAGTTAATTGACAGAATATACAAAATCCAGAATATTCTCTCGGAAGTTACTTTACTTTTCCGGCCACCATTTTTTCTTCGCTTCCGACTTAAATTCCGGTGACCTCTCCTATCGTTTCCAAAAATTCCAATTCTTCCACGCCCCATCACAATCAAAATTAAAGCCACAATATCTATTCACATACAATTACCTATAGATTCAAGTTCCGCTGGACAACCCCGAGGAGGAGATGATGAGTCGGATTCAAATTCTTCAACAATAAACAAGCCATTCAAATCCGACGCCAGCGTCATCTTCTGCTTAGAGGCGATTTCTTTGGGGGGAAATTGGGCATAAGGGAGAAGGAATTTCTGGATCTAATTGAAGCAACTAAAGATTGATTTTTAATTAGAAAGCTTCAATATGTTGTCTTCCAACATTCAGTTTTGTCAGCTTTAAAAATTCCTCCTTCCACCATTTTGTTCTTCAATTTGGTTGAGTGAAGCTAGCGCCTTTTGAGGATGTACTGGAGAGTAAGAGTATATGTATGTGATCAGCAAATTGGTTTTATATGAGACCTTCCTCTTCTTCTTCCCTCCTCAGAAGAACTGAATTGGATATGGATATGGTGGTGGCGGAAGAAGGTGGTGGTGAGATGAAGGAGGGAGTTGGTGGCTATGGCCGGTAGGAGTTGATGGTCAAAGATTGAAGAATTTTTTTACCGGGAGCTTATTGAGTGCCCTAAAAAATATTATTTTGTCTTTATTATTTATTTTTTTTTAAAAAAGGAGAGGGGGGCAACGCATTTTTGTGCCAGCCATGAAAGGCATGCACTGGAGAAACACACCACCCATTAAAGGGTGGCGTGCAAAATTCTCGCCTCCCAAAATTCCCTCTCCCCGGAATGTTGCGCCACCCCCTCGGTTTGGCAAGCAAACGCTCGCCTAACCATATTTTTTTTTTATTTTTGAATTTATTTATTTATTTAATTAATTATTTAATTTAATTAATTTATTTATTTAAGTTTATTTATTTATCTGTTTGGCTGTTAAACAAAGAATTTTAACTTAAATATTTAGAGAATGTTGCTTAATTACATAGTAAATTCTTATGAAAATTTATCTTTTAATTATGTAAATAACAAAAAATTATCATTTAATAAAAACTAAAACTTATGAATTTACTACCAAACAAATTAATTATTTATCATCGGTGTATCTAGCAGTCTTGAAAATATTTTTTTGGAAAAACATTTCAAAATATAAAATATAAAAAATGTAAATTATAAAATATTTGAAACGAATAGTTAAAAGACATGAAAAGAAATATAAAATAATATTATTTATTTATTTAATTTTTTAATTTACACTATTACAAAGTCAAATATTTAAGTTAAAATTATTTGTTTAACCTCCAAACAGATAAATATATAAACTTCAATAAATAAATGAAATAATTAATTAAATAAATAAATTAAAAAACAAAGAAATTAAAAAAATAATAATTTCGGTTTGGCGAGCAAACGCTGGCCAAACCGAGGGGGTGGCGCTAGTTTGTGTGCCACCCCCATTCCACCGGGGGGGGTTTTGTCTTGCCTCCCTTAATTAGGAGGTGAGAATTTTACACGTCATCCTTTAATGGGTGACGTGTTTTTGCTAGCGCAAAAATGCGTTGTCTTTTTTCTTTCCCTTTTTTAAAAATAAATAAATAATAATGGTAAAATAGTCAAAATAATATTTTTTAGGGCGCTCAAAAAAAAAAAATTAAGGTGCTCAGTAGCAAGATAACATTAAAATGAAAGAATAACAACATTAAAACAAAGAACTAAATTTTACTTGAAAAAAATAAAAGAAAAGCGAATTAAGGAAAAAAAATGATAAATTTGAAATTTTGATAAAACAAAAAAAAATAAAATACGTAGAGAAAATCAGAAAATGAAAAATAAAATCAATAAAACAAAGAAAGAAATTTAACTTGAAATAAAGAAAAGAAAAGGGAATTACGGAAAAATTGATAAATTTGAAATTTTAGAAATGAAAAAAATAGATGAAACTCTGTTTGGGTCAAACTAGTGGACCTCATTGCTTAGGAAATTAATAAAAACTTAAAGATTTAACGGTCTTTGACTGGTTAAGCTTGTAAAATTTATGTTAAATTGACCAAAATTGATGAAATAAAATTTTAGGGGACTGTTTTTGGCAATTGAAAATTTATGATAACTCATCTTGCTAAGCTGGGGAATGAAAAGTGGATCCGGTCCTTCCTCTATTTTCTATCACTTCCATGTTCGTTCCTGGGCTTCTGTTTCTCAGGTTTTTTCTTTTTTTTGAACATGTATTCAACAAGAAAAGCGTGTTACTTGAGATTCTGAGTCATCTTCAGGAAAAGCACATCCATCATTCAGAAAAGAGTGAGGATGATTTGGCTCAAGTTCTCTACCGATGTTTGTAGGATAAAAGGTATCTCATTGTGTTGGATGATGTTTGGGATGTTGCAGTATGGGATAGCTTAAGAACTGCTTTCCCAGATGATTCAAATGGAAGCAGGATCTTCTTGACAAGTCGACATGGTGACGTGGCTTTGAAAATTAAACCGGATAGCCAACTTCACCATCTCCGTCTGCTCAATGATGATGAAAGTTGGGAACTACTGCAGAAGAGCACCTTTTTTGGAGAAGGCTGTCATCCAGAACTACTCAAACACGGGTTGCCGATAGCAAAATATTGCAAGCGATTGCCGCTAATGATTTTGATTGTTGGTGGACTTCTTCCAAATATAGAGCCGGATACTTGGAAGGAAGTAGAGGAGAGTTTAGAGAAAGGTACTCTATTTCTTATAGAACAATGCCGGAAGAGTTTAGAGTTGAGGTATCGACATTTGCCTGAGCATTTGAAGCAATGTTTTCTTTACTTTAGGGCTTTTCAGAAGGGCCAAATTCATGTTCGGAAACTTTTATGGTTGTGGATGGCTGAAGGATTCCTCAGCAAACTGAAAGTGAGTGCTTAGCGGATGTTGCGAGGAGTTACATGATGGATCTAATTCAAAGAAATTTAGTTATAGTTGGTCAGAAAGGATCCAGAGGTAGGGTCAAATCTTGCATTCTTCATGATATATTACATGACTTCTGCATTGAAAAGTGCAATGAAGCACATTTTATGCATTGCCAACGCATGAATGATTTTGGTACTTCCATTAAGCCAAGCATATTATATCCGTCTTCACTCCTGGCGAGGAGAAGAATATGCAGCGCACTCTGCTCATAGATGATCACAGTAGATGCAGGGCAGAGTACTGGTACAATGTGTTCTACCGGTTTTGGCAGTCGAAACTTTTAAGAGTTTTGGACCTAAGAACAATCACCGTAGGAGACTTCTTTCTCATTGGAGTAGACTTGCTTCTTCACTTAAGGTACTTGGCTTTGAAGATTCAAGCCGAAGGTGTAACCATTCCGTCATCAGTTGCTAATCTTTCAAGTTTGGAGACTTTTATTGTTGATGCAATACATGCAAATTTTTCGCCATCCCCTATCAGTACTATATGGACTATGAAAAGATTGAAGCATCTGTGCTTGACTAGTTGCGCATATCAGAAGTCACATGACGAGGACCCTGATTACAGTTCCAATTCGAAGATTAATTTAGAAAGTCTTTCAACCATACAATTTTCTTGTGTCCAGGAAATGAATGAGGTGCTGAGGAAGTTTCCCAAAATGTGCAGACTGAACTGCAGTTTCCTCAATGGAGACACAGAGGACTGCACGACTCTAGCGCTTGACGTTACGAGCCAACTCAAATCACTCAGCATCTTTTCAGGTTCCAAAGGAGGAATTCAGAATTTGAACTTTGAGTTTCCGCAGAATCTAAGGAAGCTAACTCTGTCAGGCTTCCGACTTCCATGGAGTAAGATTTCTGCAATTGATGGATTACCCCATCTCGAGGTCCTCAAGTTACTAAAGCAGGCATTTTCAGGGGAAGAATGTGAAGCAAAGGAAGGTAAGTTCCGTACACTCAGATACCTGAAAATGTCAGACATGGATTTAGCCAGGTGGATAGCTCCAGAGTATGACAGTTTTCCTTGTCTTGAAATTATTAGTAATGGTAAGATGCCCGCGATTGCAGGAAGTCCTGACCAGTTTAGCCAATGTTTTAACTCTTCAAATGATCGGGGTAACTGGCTGCGAATCTGCCGTTGGCGCGACAGAACAAATTCGGGAAATGCAGATGGATATGGGAAATGATGGTCTGAAGGTCCTATCAGTTATCAAACCTTCTTCACTGGAGGATGACCCAATTTTTTTTTTTTTCTCTTAGTATAACATAACATGTGAAAAATGTGAGATCTGCTCTAGTTTGATGTATATGTATATAAATTAGTAAACTGTAACAAAATTTAATCTGCTTCTATCTTTTTCTGTAGACTGTTTTAGAACTCCAGGCCTCCAGGATGTTGTTGATGATGTCTAATGTGGCACCATTTTTTATCGAATACATTAACTGTGACGAAAGGAAGTATGGTTCATATGAAGTTTTTGGTCATAGGTTCAAGATGACACACGAATCACACCTAGTTACTTTTAACTGTATCGTTATTATTCTATTTTTATAATCATCATCCTTCGAAAGCAATTTATGTGTACCGAGTGTATCTTTGAACTTGAGTTATAAATTATTTCAATCACAAGACAAATAATCACAAAATTTCTTGCTCGTCTTGTTTAAGCTACAATAATTTCCCTTCGATTAAATACCCAACCAATCAAATTGCATACCATCCCCCCGCTCACTCGCACCAACTCCATCTCTTGATTTTGTTTTTTTGTTTAGAAGATTACTGTGTCCATATCCCTTAGGGTCCTTATCCAAACCTAAAAACAAAAATCGGCAGAAAGTGTAATGAATTTGATGATAATGATATATAGAGATGATGAATAAATGAATCTGACCCATTTCTTTGTTTTGATCTGAGGAAATACTCACAGTATCCCAAATGTTCATACCCCATAATTGACAAATTATTTGTAAAAAAACCTATTTGTTTGTATGTCATTTTATGCCAAAAATTGATTCCAATTCGGCACAAAGGATACATAACGAGGGCTCAGGATGCACTGGATGGACAAATTTTCCGGGCTTGTTTTCTTCGAGATTTCCTGGATAAGGTATTTTTTTTTGTTACATGATGATGTGTTATTTAGAATTTATTAATTTGAACTTACGTTCAGCTAACACATCGGAATTTACAGCTAAACAAGAACTGTGATTAACATATCTTCGCATTGTCTTCATTTAGTAATTTTTTGTAGTATACTATAAAGTCGTTAAATAATGCAAACAAACAATTGCTGGTTTTCTTTGTCATAGAAAATACAAAACCGTCGAATCTCACTAGAATGTTAGAAGATACCTTTTGCCGGAGGGCTGAAATGCTAGGGGGATAGTTTTCAATCAAGTAGATAAAAGAATTATGCTGTTTAGATGAGTTTATAAGTTGTATTTCACGTTTGGAGCAAAGACCCAGAAATGATTTGTTTGTTTGAAGAACCAGCAAAAAAAAAAAAAAAAACTAAAAATTTGACCTAATCTTGAGACGAAAAGTATCTAAAAAAATATAATGGACTTAAGCTTCTCGTAATTAATTTTCGGCACATCAAACAATCACAGTTCTTGGTGGCTTGGTGCACTTTGTTGCTGGCTTGCAGTTGAGCCTTTTGCCACTTTTTACATTTTACTTTTTGTTTCTTTTGGAAACTTTTTGTACAAAATGTGGATATTATTGTATACTTAATGTAGGTTTTAGAAATAATATTTACATTTAAACTAAGTTAGAGCATGTTTTCTAGCTAGAGACGAAATGAGTAGTAAAACAAATCTTACAATACATGAGTACATCACATTAGTGCTTGAGTTTGCAACAGAACTGCAAAAACATCACTAACTAATTAACTTTAGTAATTTACATAGACTATTTCATCATTTTTTACATGTTATAAGGGTGTTTATCAGGACAAAGACTTGAGCATGGTTATTCTTCTATGTGAAAGACTGTTGACTGGGAGAGAAAGTTAATAGACCGGAGAGGAGGCCAACCATGAAGGCGGCGTTGTATGTGGTTGCTTCATTCTGCATTGAGTTGTTCCGAGAATCGATAAAAGTATCGTCGCGAAATGGCCCTCCTACAAGTGCTCCAACTGCTTTGTTTGGATTCGGAGCTGTTGAATCAAGCCACCTGAAACCATCCTTACAACCTGTATTAGAATTTACAGGTATTGATGATCCTCTGTGGTGTATGTACTGTGGGTAATCATTTCCATATCCAACAAGGTAGCTTATCTTCATTGGATTAGATCCTAACACATAATTGGCCTGCATATATGAAAGGAAAATCAGGATCAGGGTTGAAGATAGATGGATGCAAAATTTCGGTTGTAATACTGATTTTTTCGCACCTGGAACATTGCGAAATTTCGCAGGTCCATTGGCTCGTAGTTGTTGCCGTCGCAGTAAAGGGTTGAAGTGTCAGACCAGAACATGTAATCGCTGTATAGAACTGAGAGGAATGCTGATGCCAGAGAGTATTGCAAAGGGTTCCACTGACTCACCCAAAGAAGTCCGCCTGTTTTTTAAAATGCTAACAAGTTTGATCATCGCATTATGTAAGTGCTGATAAATGCAGGTTTTTTTACATTAGATTTGGCTACAAGTAGAAGAGGGAATACTCTACCATTTGTCCTTTTGGATGTTGCTGTCAAGGAATCTGGAAGAAACTCACACATTAAGGCCTCTGCGGTTTTCCTATATTTCTGAAGGCCAAGATTTTCTGCATCAGGGATATTTGATGAACCAAAGAAACTCACCCTTGATAGTAGAACCTGATTGAAAACATGAACAATCTAATGAATGGTGGAATTTACAAGGCTTAACACAAAAACTTGCGGCAAAAAGGAATCAGATTATGTGTTCCACTTACATGAACTCCAGGCAACTTGTCATTCCAGGAAAACCAAGTTGGATATCCCCAGCCAGCGAAAGAATTCCCGTTAGAAACGGTAGCATATGTGAGGTATGACTGATCTCCAGTTGCATGGTAAAGCCAAGCTGAAGCCCACAGGAGTTCATCACCATATCCAGATGAGTTATAATATTTCTGCACTCCAGGGATGCTCGCGCTGTAAGAACCTCGATAAGTATCAGCAAAATTGAACAGCTGTTTCGCGTGTTTAAGCAGCAACTCAGAGTATACTTCATTTATGGACTTAAATACTAAAGACGCGGAAGCTAGCGCAGCTGCAGTTTCTGCAGCAACCTCAGTTCCAGGATATGTTACATTCACTTGAGTTATCGGCCGGGCTTCTGTCATGATTTCTGGTCTTTCCCAGCAACCATGATCCACCTCAGGGTCACCTACCTTTTATCGCGCACAGTTCAGGGCCAAACATTGAAACATGAAAGTGGAAAAAGCAGAACTTTTAAGTCCAAACCTGAATGTACAATACATTGTCTGAAGGATGTGCATTAATGAGAAAATCAGTGATCCATTTGAGGGAATCCTGAGCATATTCAAGCTGATTAACCTCTTGCATATGGTGTCCATACTCCAAAATGACCCATGACAACATTGTTGCAGTAAATGCCATTGGAAATCCAAATTTCATGTTATCCCCAGCATCATATAACCCTTTTGACAAATCCAGATTAGCTTCTTTTCCATCATCTACACCTGAATCTCCCCTCCATGTAACTCTGTTGTCTACCAATTTTCCAGCTGCATTGATCAGGAAACAAAATCTCTCAAAATTGGATTAAAAACTTAAAACCAACATAAAAAAGAAGATGTGGGGTGCAAAAACAACACGGTAGTTACATTTTTGAACATCAAAGAACTGCATGGCAATTCCTAGGGCATTAGCATATTCATCATCGACGGCGGTTGGTGGCCGATGAATATGAGTGTGATGGTGATGTTGAGACTTCCATTTTTGGTACCAATGCCACAAAGTAAATGCAGCCCCAGTTGCAACAAGAGCCATCATAACAAGAACTACAAGAGACCATCCCCATCCACTATACTTGTTGGTCGATTTTGTTAGTGAATTTGGCAACTTGTCTTCCATTAATCCTACTTAGACACTTGAAACTTTTCATTGAAGAGTTTTCAAATTTATAAAATGCAGGCCTTATCAAAGATATGTATATATATTTTTTGTGTAACAAAGTAGACTATTGAAACAGGACGACAAGAATACTAATGGTTCGGGCCTACATACATCTAGTGACTTGGTACAGAATAGAAACTTTTCACAGTATCCCAAATGTTCATACCTTATTGAATAGACAAATTATTTGTAAAATGCCATTCGTTTGTTTGTTAGTAAGGAGTGGATTTTATGCATAAATTGATTCCAATTCGGCACTAAAGGACACATAACGAGGTTCAAGATGCACTGCATGGACAAATTTACTCCTTAGTTTTATTTTTTTTTTGGTTGCGTGATGGTGTATTATAAAACTTTTATTATTTGAGCTTACGTTCGGCTTTACATCGGGATTTACACCGAAACAAGAACTGTGATATCTTAACAGTGTCTTCATTTAGTAATTTTGTTGTAGTATACTAAAGTCTAACTATAATGCAAACGAAAAAATTGTTGGTTTCCTTAATCATAGAAGATACAATCCGTCGAATCTCACTAGAAAGTTAGAAGAAACCATTTTCCCCTGATCCAGCCTTCAGTTTGGTCGATGCTGAATTTAGATGATTTCCATCACTCGATAACTTAAGTCCTGGATTGGATTCGACGGCCATCGTTCCGGCAAGAAACAGAGCAGCTCTGCCAAATCTGATCAGGCGGTGAAAGTTCGTTGCAGATAAAATGCGCTTCTGCTGGGGATGTAGAACTTCTCCGGGATGTTATTGATTCTCTGTCTCACAATTGGGTAGTGATTCATTAAAAAAAATGGAGCTACAAACTGGATTAACTCAATTTCTCCTCTTAAGTACCTTGATCTCCTGGGATCAGTTTGATGTAACGCGAATAACTCGATCTCAAAGGAAATCCAGCGGATCCAAAGTTGATTCATAAATCATAATGCTTGAGAAAGAGAGGGGAGCACTAATATTAGTTTGTTATTTTAAGTAGTAATCATGTTGAAGTAATGGAGTAGTGGGTCAGTTTACAATTTTTGGGAGTCATCTCTACTTTATAGCATTAGAAGTCTATTTATTTATACTCCTATATTGTAATTCTCATTTTAAGGAAATGAGAAGAAAATTAATGAATTTGGCTTTTTAGTCAGAAATGTGTCTCTTTTAATTCGACTCGAATAAAATCGCTATGAAGTCCTTCCTAACACAAATTACATAAAGAGCATACATGCATGTTTAAACCATCATAGTAGAGTCCCCAAGAGAAAATGCATATGCTGTACTAGTTATGACATTGTACAAGTGACCGACATTTCATTAGAATTTGGTGTTGGTTATGGTCCTCATTGCTGATTGATTGATTTTCGGATAATGGATCGTTGAGATTGAAGAGAAGAAAGATGTTTCAACTGAAGAAAGAATGCTGGATCTCTTAGATTGAAATAGGGTTTCCTTCTTCGAGTGAAATTACATTTTCGACAAGAAAGAAGATTCTAGTGGCAACTTGCAAAAACTAATGGGGGAAAAGGTTAGATATACTTGACTTTTTCTGATTTTACTTGATGTATATCATATATCATTTAGTAAAACTTAAATTAAGAAACATGTTATTCATCAATTTTGTCCTAATTATTTATTCCAATCCATGCCATTTTCTAATCCGTATTCCCTTTCTCCAAAAATAATTAACAACATATTGTATGTTTGAATTATGTTTCCATTATACAGTTCATTTTTAAGAGCGGCTCGAGCTATGTATTAAGAAAAATAAAAATAAAAAAGGAAAAGAAAAAAAACACACTTATTTGAGATTGGATTTAACGGTCATCAAATCGAGTAATGAGGATTTTTCTGAATTGTTGATTATCACTATTGACTATCCTAACTGATTTAACACATTTTGCTGCACCAAATAATCCAATATGATTAATTTAACCTCCAACCAACAACTCCACGACTCTCTTCCACTTCCAATTTCTAGCCGAGACTTTCTCTTATATATCCACCAAAAAAAAAAAGGAGGAAAAATTACATCAGATTCTGCTTATTGTAACAACAGCAAAATCACACAAGTTTTTTTCCCTTCAACATCAGTTAATCAAATCCACAATTTTCTTTAGCGTTTTAATCTTCAATATGCCTCAGTGGAAGATCCTGATGAAACTTAAACAACAAAAGTTGAGAACAGGAAAAAGCAGGAAAAAACCAGAGAGCAGTGAAACAGAAAATGTGATCAATAAGGGTAATATCAAGGAAACAGGATTTCAGTCACCAAAAATAATCCCATCAAAGAAACAAAGCAAGAGTTTGCAGCAACAATTTCTTCTTTCCCAGTTTGGAAGCCTCAATGTTGCTGCTACAACTACGACAAAGGAAAATGTGGAAGATCATCAAGGTAAACAACAACAGAAGAAACAGATATTAGGTCAAATATTACAGCAGCCAGATTCATCATCAGTTGATCATCAAGCTGGTAAGCAGCCGCTCTTTGCCTTCACTGATCTCATTTGCAAGAAAATTCTGAGGAAGACAGGGACATATTTCAAAAAGTGGAAAAGAGCCCGAAGAAAGGATGCTAATTGTACTAATGCTGAACTGACAAAAAATCAAGCAGCAGAATCTGGAGTCAGGAATCTGAGGAAGGATTCCAGTTGTCGAAGGAACGACGAAGTCACAGATCATCAGGAAGCAGATAGTGAGCTCTGCAAGAAGAAGATTTTGATGGGGGAAAAGTGTAGGCCGCTTACTAAATCCGGGACGCTTCATTATGATGAAACTGGTGTAATTTTAGCTGAAGAAACTTGAACATAGAAAGAATACCGCTGAAGTTTGTTTGATAATTTATGAAATTTATGGCTTCATAAAAAGTGTTGTTTATTGTCTGCTACAGAAGAACAGCTTGTATCTTAGCAAGCAAATTCATTCATTTGAATTATGTATCAATCAAACAAAGAAACTCATTTGGGAATTGGGATTATAAAAAGTGTAATCTAGTAACCTCTAAAATCAAACAAGGTACTCTGCTCTCGCATTAATAATCAATTACTCACTCTGTCAGTCTCTCCTGTAAAAACGGTCTTAATTATAATTTGAGCGTTGTAATAAAATATATATCTTTTCTCCAGTAGCAAAGTGTTAGGGATTTCTCCATGCAGAAAATGTGAAATGGAGTACAATAAGTAAGATAAGATACATCCGAAGTTAAAAGGTCAAACTAATGGATCTTGAGTCCAGCTTACTTATTAACTGATACACATATCCTTACGCCTCCGATGTTGGATTCCTAACCCTTGCCACATGACTCTCAATATACCATTCTTACACCTCAGATGTTGGACTCCCAACCCTTGCCACATTACCCTCAGTATCCCACCCCGTTATGGGGAACCTCCACATCGAGCTTTTAAATTATCTCAACAAGCTCAAATATATACTCCACTTGAGTAACTGAGTCGCCCATCTCTACATTTCCGCTCGTAATGGGTCTTTGACTGCCAGGGTTCAGCCAGATCAACTGAGATAATTTGGAGGAAATCACCCACCCAACTTCGGCTTCGATACCACAATTGGGAATTTCTCTAAGGAGAAAATCCAACATGGAGCGCAATAAATAAGATAAGACCCATCTAGACTCAAAAACTTAAACTAATGTGTCTTTAGTCTATCTTACTTATTAACTGATGCACATGTCCTTCGATGTGGGATTCACAACACTTACCACATGACCCTCAACACAAAGGTGGTTATTGTTTGCATATTATTAGCACCTGCAACTACCTCAAACTGGTCATTTTAACAATTAGATATCAACAATGCCTTTTTATATGGCTACTTAATTAGATGAGGAGGTTTATGTGCAAATTCCTCAAGGGTATACAAAGGGCTCTTCCTCTCAGGTCTGCAAGTTCAAATGATCCTTATATGGTTTGGAACAGGCCTGTAGCCAATGGAATATAGAATTTACCAGTAAAGTGTAACAATTTGGTTTTTAGCAATCCGAGAATGATACCCGCTTATTTTTGAAGTCTGATCCTCATCCTTCTCACTTTTTAGCTCTTACAGTTTATGTAGATGACATACTTATCAAATGTTCAGATGAAACTTCTATCATCCAGGTTAAACAGCGTTTGCCTGGCCTTTTTACCCTCAAGGATTTAAGAAGAAAAAGGGAGACATAAGCAAAAAGAGGAAAATGAAAATATTTAAGGGTATCTAAGTCTTTTTAAATAGGTGCACGAAGAAAAATCAAACTGTATTTAGTAATGCCCTTTGAAATATAACAAGGGCACACCTTCTCATGGCTTCTTCTATGCCTTCTCCATTACTTTCAAGTTAGAAATTTATTGGGATGCTAACTATGTTTGAAACCCTACTCGTAGAAATCAGTAACAAGGTTTTGTGTTTTCCTTGGATCATTTGGAAGCAACAAAATCACAGTTCCAGTATCCTTTGCAGAAATTGAATACATATGCATGGGTTATGCAGCAAGAGAGCTCCTCTTGATTTCTTATCTCTTGGAAGACCTTAATGTTACTCTGGTGTGATAATGAGTATGCAATCTACATTATTGAAAATCCAGTCTTCCATTAAAGAACCAAGAACTTGGAAGTAGAATGTCGTTTTGTGAGACATCATTAATAATGTGGTTTCTGGTGCCCTTACACATTACTACTAGTTTTCAGCTAGCAGACTTGTTTACCAACTATCTTCTTGATCCTCAACTGACTTCTTTTGTTGTCCAAGCCAGGCATGAAGGAATTTTCTTCTTGGTCTAACTTGTGGGGATGTAGGAGATAATAGCTTGAATGATGTACCTAATTGCATAAACCTAAAAGTTGACTTTGCCAGGTGCAGTTGATTGTAACTTCAGGGACTTTTTTTTGTAAATTTTTGATTAGTGATGTCGGTTTAGCAGTTGAGGCGGTTTTAGACAAAATAAAGCTTGTAATCAGTGTCACAATGATTGATTAAATTCACTATACTTACATTCGTTACTAGAATTTACTCCGGACCATGGAAACCCTAATTTTTGTTTGATCCAAATTTTATCAAATTGTAAGGAAATTAGCTTTTTCTAAAATTCACAAACTAATGTTCTATTGCTTAATTCATGTCCGTGAAGTCATTCATAATGTTGGGAGATCTAGGTTAACGCTTCAAAATCTTGTCATATTTGGTTCTCATATGAAAAACACCAATGCTTATGTAATGCTTACCCTATCCCAAAAACATTACACATTGAGTTTTGAAATTCGTGCTAAAAATAATTTAAATATGAAAACTAAATATGAATTATTTGTTCATCACTGAAGCCTAGTTTACCAGATCCAACAGTTATAAGACGCTTCTGCTGGAAATCTGATTGCTTCAAGTCATCTAGCAACAATCTAGAAAGAAGAAAAATTACTAAACATAAACACATGTTAGTAGCAGATTTTGTGGACCCTTTAGATTTTATGAACCTGTATTTAAGTGTTCTTCTGTAGTTGATCTTGGTTTCAATTTATATATAAATGGGTTTTTCCATAGTTGACTCCCTTTATTTTTCAGATTTTGGGATGTATAAACTTCTTATTGATAGAAAATGTGGAAATTTGATTACTAGTTTCATTTCACTCCCGACTGCACACAAAATACTGGATATTTATATACTAATTCAAAACACACACAAATGGAATAAATGTAAACAACCAAGGAATCACAACACCATGTGGTTCAGTCTCCCAAGGAAGTTGTATCCACGTGTGAGCTAACACTTCACTAATGGAGAAAATAGAAGAGTTTTTACAAGTGTGTTCTTCCTAACACACAAGTTTCTTAACTCTCAATTCCAGAAACTACACTTTCACTATGTGTTGCCTCACACACACACACCACATTTTGGCACAAACACTCATATTTATATTAAAGAGTAATAAGTTCTATTGGACTCCTTTTTCACCAAATTAAAGTAGACATGGGCTTAGCCTTTGAGGGTTTGGCCCAACATATCTTCCATCAACTAAAAAATCCAAGCACCTCAATCTTGTTTGAAAATTAGACACACTTCTTCTTTGGCTTGATTTCCTCCCTATGAATGCCAAGCAAACCACTAGTCCCAATTTTTGAATCATCAACATGAAAGATGTGACAATCTGATGAAGATCGTAGTATAGATTATGGGTTTTAAGGTTATTGTGGTCATTTTATATTAACTTTATAGGTTTTATTTTGAAGCTATTTTTCTACGTAAGTGGCAAAACCGCTTCTTCGTACATTAGTTGTTGATTTTATATATTTGAGAGTTGGTCAGTTTCTAATAGAATTTTGAGCTTATTTTCCGTTATTCATTTGTATAATCAACAGACTATAGATGCCTTAGACAATGGGCATGTGTGCGTCGAATCAATAGTGTTGAGGAGGGTTGTTATATATATAGGTATTTGTGCATCGAATAAATGTATATTAACGGTTCGTGTTAGGATTCTTTGTTTGATCCTAAATCTGGAGGCTTTCGCTATGTCAGTTGGCATCAAAGATGAGTTAGTTCCTAATGGTTCATCGGTAAAGATGTGAGTAAATGCGGAAGTGGTTTTCATTTATTGTTCCTTTGGATTCAATATTTGCGTTTCCGTTTGGTTTGATTTGATTGATTTATTATTTCCTTTGAGAATCTATTGGTATACGGTTTTTGGTGTGGTTAGTCGACCAAATTTGGATAGTTAATTATATTTTAATTATTTTTGGTTCTTGTATTGGTTTGATTTGGTCTAATGAGGTTGATTGGGTACATATTTATCAATTATAACTTTTCAAGTGAATTTTTGGTGTTCACGACGATATGCAGTAATGGGAATCTATTTCCCAAAATTTCTTGCGGGATCGACCATAAAAATTTGGATTAATCCATGTACACATCAAAGTGTTACTAGTTTGTCTGTTTGAAGAATATTAACTTTACGGGTTTAGCTTGGATGCTTCTACTTCTTCTTAGTGGTGATGCACAACTAGCCATGGTCTACTGATCTAGACAATGGGAACTTTACCCCTAAAGACGTGCATCCATGTGGCCATAGGGCTAGAGCTACCGATGTTCGACAGTTATGTCAATCCGATTGTATCTTTAATCTTGAATTGGATTTTGATCCATGGGAAAATAACTACATTTATAGGATGATCCCCCTAGTGTTTGATGTCTATCCCAATGATGATGGTGATGAGAACTCTTGCTTGTTCCTTAGTAGACCTACAAAGATGCCATCGACTTCGAATACAGTTTTTGCTGCTCAGCGACTCCATTTTTATATGGATTGCTCACAGAAAGAAGTTCCATCTCTGCGGTTGCATCACTTCAACACAATGTAGTTTGATAGATGTTTAGTACATTTTGTCATTATCCATTTGGTAATGTTGTTCCTGATGATGATAAAGTTGCTCAGTCCCTTGGAAAATCCTGTAATTGCCTTAATGGTTTACATTCTTTTTAAGGGTACCGAAGATAAAGAATTAGAGGCCAAGTGCGACGATCATCATCTACTCATAGCATTTTCTGTTTATGGAGATGAAGAAATAGATATGAGTTAGTTTCAAGTATCTACTCTTATTTTTTTCCTATTGACTTGTGAGAAGTTAAACTTCAGCTACAGAGTCTTTTCGAGTTACTTGATTTGGCATACCTCTCATCAGATAGGACTGCAACAACATGCTTAGGGGATCATGGAAAGGTTTATTCAACTGGATCATTGATACATGCACATGTAGTTTCATGACAACAAAACAAGAAGTTGAACTCTTTGGTAGGCAAGGAACCATTGTGCAACGATACTAGCCAAGAGTAAGCCACACTTGTTTTTAAGATGGGGGCCATTCAAACT